AATCCAACGCATGGTTAAGTACCTTCATATAAACAATGGAAAATGAGGATCTACCTGTAGAGTTATGAACTGCATTGTTATAAGCGAACTCTGCTTGTGCTATGGCAAAATCCCACTACTTCGGTCTCTCCCTGCAGATACTGTGGATCAAGTTACCTAAGGTCCGATTTACCACCTCTGTCTGTCCATCTATCTGTGGATGGGCTGTACTGCTGAAATTCAATGATGAGTCGAATAATCTCCACAGGGTCATCCAGAAGTGACTTAAGAACCTCGTATCTCGGTCTGATGTGATGGTCTTAGGTACCCCATGTAAACAAACAATCTCTCTGAAAAATAGCTTAACTGTTGTTGTTGCATCCGCGGTCTTCTTGCATGGGAGGAAGTGAGCCATCTTGGAGAACTAGTCAACCACTACGAAGACGGAGTCCATATTTTTTTGGAGTCTTTGGCAAGCCTAGCACGAAATCCATGGACAGGTCTTCCCAAATCACAGTAGGAACAGGTAGAGGCATGTAAAGGCCTGTATTCTGGGTCTGTCCCTTAGTCGTCTGGTATATATAGCACCTACTTACGATAGTGGTCACATCCCTCCTTAGTCTAGGCCAGTAGTAACGTCCCTTGACTGCTTCAATTGTTTTGTCTCTCCCGATGTGTCATGCTAATCCACCCCCATGCAGATCCCTGATGATCTTCTCGCGGAGGGAGGTGCAAGGGATGCACAATTTTTCTCCTTTCATAAGGAACCCATCATGAATGTAGAAATCACCTGCTCGCTGTCGATTTATGCACTTTTTCCACACCTGTTTGAAGTCCTCATCCTGGACGTATAGATCTTTCAAGCATTCAAAGCCCACTATTTCATTCATAAAAATTAAAATGAATTTAACATCATAAAAATTAGTGGGGAATGGGGATCCATGAGGGACGGATGGGGAAAACTATATCCCCTGTTGGTGGGGACGAGGATGGGGATAAGGACGGGAATTTTCATGGGGATGGCACCCTGTTCCCACCCTATTCCATTGACATTCCTAAGCAGGACAGGGTATATGTGAGGTCAATTGGTCCTGTATTTTTTGTTTTTCGCTTCATCATTGGTCCTGTATGATGAATACACAAAACTAGTTTATAGTGCAGGAACCATAATAAAGTATATTAATAACAATAAAAATAAACAAAACAAATCTAACTTAACTAATATATAAAATTAACTATCAC